AACCAATGCGACCAATGCCGTTTCCGTGCTGTGCCCAGGCCTGAAACCAGACTGGAACGGATCCAGATAGGATGTTTCCTCCAAGAATTGCGGAAACTGTCGCGCGACCACACTCTCAACAACCTTCGCCAGAAAGCGAAGGTTGGAGACAGGACGATAGTTGGCCAATATTGCCGGATCCAGGGACGGCTTCTTGAGGAGAGGCCTCACCACTGCCTCTTTCAAGGCCGCGGGGAAGTGACCCTCACTCAATGAAGCGTTGATAACACCCTGGAGCCAGCCTCGTGTAACCTCCCGGGAGGCCAGTACCAACCAGGAGGGACACGGGTCCAGTAAACATGTGGCCGCACTAAGTCTCCCCAAAATCTTGTCCACATCATCGGGAGTCACAGCATCAAACTCCTCCCAGATAACATTCTCAAGACTATTCCTCGTCACCCTGCCCTGATCTACCCAGTCAGAGTCCAAGTCCCCCCGGATCTGAGCGATTTTGTCATACAGGTATTGTCCGAAATCCTCCGCCCTGCCTTCCAAGGGATTCTCCCGTGCTCCCAGATGGAGCAGGGAGCGGGTTACCCTGAACAGGGCTGCCGGACGATTCCCTGATGATGCAATAGAGGCGGAAAAGTAATTACACTTTGCCGTCTTTATCGCCACTAGGTAGGTCTTAATATGCGACCTTACCAGTGTTTGGTCAGATTCAGCGCGACTGGCCCTCCAACCGCTCTCTAGGCGTCTTTTCCGGCGTTTCATCTCTCTCAGCTCCTCGGCGAACCAAGGAGCCGCGAGGGATCGACAGCGGGTCAGAGGCTGCAAAGGCACGACTCGATCCAAGGCCCCACCAGCCGCCCGATCCCAGGCAGCTACCAGGTCCTCGGCCGAGTCGTGTGCCAGATCATCAGGAATTGGCCCAAGCTCCGTCTGGAACCTATCAGGATCCATCAGGCGCCTGGGGCGGACCCATCTAATTGGGACCGCCTCCCTGCGGCGGGGTGTAGCGGTACGAAGGTCCAGACGAAGGAGTGAGTGATCTGACCATGACAAGGGTTCCATGTCTATATCCCCTATAACAAGATCACTCAACCACTGGCCAGAGACAAAAATCAAGTCTAGAGTGTGCCCCCCCCCCCGTGAGTGGGGCCATGAACTAACTGGGTCAGGTCCATGGCCGTCATGGAAGCCATGAACTCCCGAGCCATCCCAGACGTTTCACCAATGGATGGCAAGTTGAAATCACCCATGACCATAAGCCTGGGTGTATCAACTGCCACCGTGGCTATCACGTCGAGTAGCTCAGGCAGGGCTGCTGCCACGCGGCAGGGAGCCAGGTACGCAAGCAGCAAGCCCATCTGAACCCCATGACCCCATCTCACGAAGAGGGACTCACATCCGGCAGTCTGAGGCACAGTGGTCTCCCTCGGACCAAGACCTTCTTTAATAATAACCGCCACCCCCCCACCCCTCCCCTGGGCTCTCAGCTGATGGAATGCTCTGAAACCTGGTGGGCACATCTCGACCAGAGGGACTCCTCCCTCCGGTCCCAACCAGGTCTCCGTAATACCAGCCAGGTCCGCTCCCCCCTCCTGGATAAGATCGTGAATGAGGGGGGCCTTATTTACCACAGACCTAGCGTTGCACAGCATCAGCCGCAGGCCCAGGTCCTGAGTATCTAAGCCACCTAGTATCCGAGGGGAGCTTTGGGGGCCGGGGTGCGCAATTGCTCTCAAACAGCAAGTGCGCGTCCCCAACACATGATGTGGCCCCCTGCTCCCGCCATATCTGCCCCTCCCAACCACCGTGCTGATGGTATTTCCCTCATTGGGATAGCCCTCCGCCCCCTCCCCATTCCCTCGTCCAGTGTCCTCCAAACCGTTACCCCGTGCCGGGCTCGGCTCTGACCTTGGTGGATTACCCCCCCCATCCCCTTTGGTCGTCCTCCCGGTTCCCCTTAAAAAATTATTAAAAACCCTAATTAAAAAACCCCTTAATCCCCGCTGTGTCATAATGGCACATCTGGGAAAACACAAATCTGAAAGCTTCCAGGTTTTCCCCACCCAAAAGAAAGTCCAAGTCCCTGCCCCAGCACCCACATGTCCATCACATGGTCCAATCAAAGCACCGTCCCAACTGGAGATGCCTCCCAATCACACACCTCCAGGTGCAGGGCAGAGTGACCTTGACTCTCAGAGAAAGAAATGTTATTATGACTATATATCTCCCCAGCTCCCTACAATCCCCCCTCCCAGTTTCCCACAGCACTAAATGTGGCAGGCCTGAAGATCCAATGCCCAAGATGGCTTCCAGGCCTGACACAATATTCTTGACTACAGTTATTATGACATCTAGGCTGCTAAATAGGAGTGGGAATAGAGTCAAGCCTTCAGCACTCCATAAAGCAGAGGCCTAAGGTGAAACATTCCTCTCTGCACGCCAACTGAAATTAATTTTGGAAGGAGGAGAAGAATCACAGACGATATGTGCTTCCCAGTCCTAATTCCCTCAGGCAATCCAGAAATATAGCATAATCAACGGCATTAAAAGCTAGACTTTAGAAAGAGTGTGGAGAAGAGCAACAAAGATGATTAGGGGAACAGAGGCTAAAACATATATACAGAAGTGTTGCTGGAACTGGGTATGTCTACTTTAATGAAAAGAAGGACTAGGGGAGACATGATAGTAGTGTTCCAATATGTAAGGTCAGGGGTGGGCTGCTGGGGGTTTGTAGGGGTTCAGGAGAACCTCTAGCTAAGTTTCTGTGCAGTTCAGAGAATCCCCAAATCCAACTCCTGGCTGGCCCCACCCTGCCCCATCCACCCCTCCCCTCCCAGGAGTATCCATGCTGACCATTTTGGATGTGAGATAAGTGCAAGGTGCACACAGTGGTTCTGGGAGGGCGAAAAACTACTGGAAATTCAGGAAGATCCAGAGGGCCTCTGGAACCTGGGGAGGCCATTTACGCCCTCCCAGAAGCTCGAGGAAAGGCTCTGGAGCCCGGGGAGGGCAAAAATGCCCCCACTCATGGTGCAGGAGGCTGACTAGGCCACACCCACCATGGCCACACTCACCCAGCAACCAGGCAAAGAACCCCTTGCTAAAAATGTTGAAGCCCACCTCTGTCTAAGGGGTTGCCACAAAGAAGAGAGAGTCAACCTATTCTCCAAAGCACCTGAAGGCAGGACAAAAAGCAATGGATGGAAACTAATCAAGGAGAGAAGCAACCTAGAACTAAGGAGAAATTTCTTGACCATTAGAACAATTAATCAGTGGAACGACTTGCCTCCAGAAGTTTTGAATGCTCCAACACTGGAACATTTTAAGAAGATGTTGGATAACCATTTGTCTGAAGTGGTGTAGGGTTTCCTGCCTGAGAAAGAGGTTGGATTAGAATACCTCCAAGGTCCCTTCCAACTCTGTTATTCTGTTAATCTATGGACCAGGTTTGATCCACCACATTCAACCCAAGCCTACCAGAAATCATCCACAAGCATGTTCAATGGTGTCTTGCAGAGGTGAAATGCTCCTGGTTCAGTCCGGATCACCTGATATGGGTCCAGAATGTTAAATTTACACAGTCGCAGAACTTGAGGGAAAATTTTTATAAAATGTTTTATAGGTGGCATTTAGATCCTAAGAAATTGTCTTGTATGTATCCTAATGTTCAACCAAAATGCTGGAGATGTGATTGCTTAGATGCCACATATTACCATATGTGGTGGACTTGTAAGAAAGTGAAGGCCTTTTGGATAAAAATTTGGTGGGTCATGCAAAATGTTTTGAAGAAAAAACTTCAGTTTTCTCCACAATTGTTTTTATTGGGTATAGTTAAGGGTTTTACATTGGGTGAAACAAAGTTGATATTGTATATGGTGACAGCAGCAAGATTACTGATAGGTCAATATTGGAAAAATGAAGCTATGCCTACTATTGAAGAATGGACTTTGAAGATGGACAGTTTTGCAGAGATGGTGAAGATTTCAGCATATTTAAAAGACTGAACTCAAGAGACTTATGTATGGAAGTGGAAAAAGTGGATAGATTATGTGCAGAATAAATACCAAACTAGGAAATATCAGATAGCTTTTAACTGAATGTATTATATAGGGATAGAATAACTGAGTTTTATGAAGGTATAAACAGTATATAGGGGGTGGAGGGGTTCAAGTCTTATAAAATGTGATTTTGATTTGGATTATATTTTGTGGAAGTCATGGGGGAGGGGAGGATTAGGGGGGGTTAGGGAGGGTTAGGGGGGGTTAGGGAGGGTTGGGGGGGGAATTGGGGAGAAAATGTATTTGTAAAACTTTTTCAATAATATATATATATATATATATATATATCTCAATGCCCTTATAAAAAACCTACATAAGGACTTGATGCCAGACTTTGAACAAAACAGAATTAAACAGAGTGATTCCAGGTCAGTAAAGAAGTGAGACAAGACTGTATAAGGTAAAGGTAAAGTTCCCTTGCACATGTATGCTAGTCGTTTCTGACTCTAGGGGGCGATGCTCATCTCCGTTTCAAAGCCGAAGAGCCAGTGCTGTCCGAAGACGTCTCCTTGGTCATGTGGCTGGCATGACTAATTGCCAAAGGCGCACAGAATGCTGTTACCTTCCCACCAAAGGTGGTCCCTATTTTTCTACTTGCATTTTTTACATGCTTTCGAACTGCTAGGTTGCCAGAAGCTGGAACAAGTAACGGGAGTTCAACCCGTTACACGGCATTAGGGATTCGAACCGCTGAACTGCCAACTTTCTGATCAACAAGCTCAGTGTCTTAGCCACTGAGCCACAGTGTCCCTAATTACAAGACTATATACTTACTTTTTATTTATTTATCTTGTATGCTGAATGAATATTGAAGAAGTGTAGTTTGGAAGACAAATAACATAGTTTTAAATTGGTGGAAGAAACATCAATAACCTTCCTTAGGCTATTTATTGATAGTACATTAATCACATGGGAGAAAGAAAGAATTTTTAGAACAAATAACAAAAGGTTTTCAATTTCTGATTTTATCTTAGCAATAATTTGGATAAAAACATAACTGCCAAAGTCAAGAGCTCTAGTTGTTTTTCATCATTAGATGCTCCTTCATGTTCAAATCAGGTCTCAGAATGATGATGTAACATTTGGGGACAAAGATGCAGCCCAGTAAGCCCAGGCTGGAAGTCAAGATGGAGAAGATCTGCACAGCCACCATGTATTTCCCTTTGGTGCTCAGGTAGGTGGGGACAAAGGTGACCCAAACACTGCAGAAAACCAGCATGCTGAAGGTGATCAGCTTGGCTTCGTTGAAAGATCCTGGCAACCTCCGGGCCAGGAAAGCCACCAAGAAGCAGATGGCAGACAGAAAGCCCATGTATCCAAGGGCACTGTAAAACATTGTAACTGAACCTTCATTGCATTGCAGAAGGATCTGTCCTTTTTGGGAATAGAAGTCAGAATCTGGGAATGGGGGAAAGATTCCCAGCCATATGAAACAGATGCCCACCTGAACACCAGAGCAGGAGAAGATGATGAAATTGGCCAGAGATTTCCCCAGCCATTTCCTCATCCTGCTGCCTGGCTTTGTGGCCAGAAATGCCACCACCACCATGATAGTCTTGGCCAGCAAGGATGACACAGCAACTGAGAAAACAACACTGAAGGCAGTTTGTCGAAGAAGGCAGGTCGCTTTCTTGGGTTGACCAATGAAGAGAAGGGAAGTCAAGAAGGAAAGCAAGAGAAAGATCAGCAGAATGTAGGTGAGATCCCGGTTGTTGGCTTTGACTATGGGAGTTTCTCGATATTTAATAAAAATTCCTAGAACTGAGGCAGTGGTTAGAGACAAAAGAAGGGCAGAGATAGCCAGAACAAGACCTAAGTTTTCTCTGAAGGACAGAAATGTCATAACTTTGGGAACACACAGATCTCGTTTGTTGTTGGAATGGTGGTCATCTGGACACTTTTCACAATGGGCTACATCTGGAAAACACAAAATACTGTTTTTTAACAAGTGATTGAGTGACATTCAGCACATCATTTTATGCTGCCCAACTCCCAAGAGTCCCTTGGGAGTCGGGCGGCATAAAAATGCGACAAAATAAATAAATAAAATAAATAAATCATAGCCAACTTTTCAGATATAGGATGTACACATTTATTGTTATATGATTTGTTTATTATGCAATTATATTTATAGACCACCTGTAAAACATTTTGCAGCAGTTTCGCCTTAAATTATAACTTGGAGTGAATTTTCTATATTTTTCTTGTTGAAAACTCTTCTCATTTTTGCATTAGGATTATTCCTTTGATGTCTTGCATCCATTTTATCATACAAATGTTTATTTTTTCCATCTCCATGTTATATTTCAAAAACAATTTATATATGGCTCTAAATCATAAATCTTATTTTGTATGAGTATTTCAAATGCTGTCATCTTTCTCAAGGTCTCTCAAACTTTTTCAAGATGGTTTGTTATTGTTTCAGTAGTTTGTGAAAAAAATGCATCACCGTGAATTCTATCTTCACTGAAGTGATTTTAGTCTGCTTCCTGAGTCTGGATGTAGCATATCGGCATATGACATCAAATCTTGGTAATACCAGAATGGTGGTAGCACAGTGATTAGAATACAGTATTGCAGGCTAACTCTGCCCAGAGCCTGGAATTCAATCCTGATCAGCTCAAGGTTGACTCAGCCTTCCTTCCTTTTGAGGTTGGCAAAATGTGGACTCACTTTGTTGGGGAGAATATGCTGACTCTGTAAATAGCTTAGAGGATGATATAAAGCACCCTCTAAGTCTAAGTGCAATTGCTATTGCTAATATATTGTCCTTAAAATATATGGTGCTCCTTCTTTGTTCTTGAACTACCAACCTTCCTGCACAGAGATGGTTCCTTCCATGCATGGAGAACAGTCATAACAGCAAAGTGGTTCTCCCTCCCTCAAGAGCTTGGTATATCCTGGGAGGCAACTTTCAGAACACCTAGAAAAGGGGGCCTTCTAAACAGAAAGGAAGTCAGAGAAACATAGAAATGAGGGGGTTACTTCTAAAAATGGAACTGAGCACCAAAGTGGGTTCAGGAATTCAAAAAGATACTTTCAAGATCTTTTTCCAAATATAATGAAAATACTTTTCTCTTAGTGAAAAGTCTTCACTAGCTGTTTCATTTCAGCAGGCTATGATCCCAGAGTCCCCTTAATGTTCAGAAAAGGCTGTTGATTCTCCAGTCCAGGCATCATTATCCTACTGGGATTTTTCTGCATTTGGACTTCGGATCCCATCAGATTCAGCCAACTGGTCAATGACACAAAACTGTGGAAACTGTAGTCCAAAGCATGGAAACCACAGGGTTGCTCTCTCCTATCTTAGCAATTGCTAGAACACAATCTATCACATCATGTCCTCTGCCTTCTTACAATATGTATTTCTTAGATCTCAATTTCCTATCAACTCAGTCTCAAAGCAGACTCTAGTTGTGAACAAACATTGGATAAGATTCAATAGAAGAGAATCTCTGTAACGCAGGATTGAACTGTAAACTCCTTGATGCTCTCTCAGTTTGGTTGTCTGCTTGCATTCATTTGACTAGATAACATTATCAGTGCTATCATCAAGCACATCAGGCATCGATGATGTTACTTAGTTCGGTAAGCAACCAATGAAATACCTGCAAACAGCAACCAAGCTCAGAGAACACCAAAGATTCCACTAACTAAGTGCCTCCAACCCCAGAACAATGCTGGTATTCCCACCATAAGCAATAGATCTTTTGAGAGGTCCAGGAGAAATAATAGTGTCTCCTTCAACTGCCTTTTTACTAGTGTAGGTCCTCCATTATAGTGAAAAGGCTGAAAAACCATAAAATCACATGGATATACAGTATAGGAATAGATAAATAATAAAACCCAAAAAGAGGCAGATTTGGTTACCTGGTTAAAAGACGTTGGCCATATGATGGCACTCTCATGGACAGAGACCTTGATATCTGAAGAGACTTCTTCTTTTCCAATATTCCCAATTACCACCCCAGCTGCAGATTTGTTGGGAAATACTGCCCAGTCCATGATATCAAAGTCGGCAGTAGGAATTCCATTCTCATCCAAATAAACATCATTTACAGAAAAATTGTAAATCTGGAAGTTTCTTAGAAAAGGATGGAGCTGAAAAGATATGGAGAATCGCACTTGCAATGTATACGTTCCCATTTCAACCCTAAATCAAAACAGGGATACTTTACCCCGGTGTTTCTGTCTGCAAATGTGGTAGGAAGATTATTTTTTCTCTCTCTAATTCCCTCTCTCTCTCTCTCTTTCTTTCCCACTCCCACTGTCTCTCTCTCTCACACACACACACACAGACATACACATACACATACACATACACATACACACAAACCTTTTTCAGTTTAATATTTTTGGCCTGCTTTATGAAATTGGTAATCTCAGATTCCAAACATTATGACTCCGGCAATCTCACCATATTCCTATGGTAGTTTTCCCACTAATTGTATTGATATTACAAAAAGGAGTGTCCCAATTTTGCTTGACTAGAACATTAACTCCATCTTGGCTTTGAGTCATCAACAAAAGGCTGGTCCTAAATTTTCAGTCTCCTTTGGCCAATGTCCTAAGGCACCCCTGCTGCTTCCCCTTTGTTGCAAGGTTCTTGCCTGCCTCCCTGTGTCCAAGTCACCTGCTGGAAGGAAACATGCACTAATCTAGGTAGTGTGAGAAAAAAGTGAGAAAAGGAGATATATGCAATGCCTGTTAAAAAAAAGAAAGGATGGGGTTTCCATCACACTCTTTGGAAGAGAAAATATCACAAAATGAAACAGTGAAGTTTAGAAAAGCCACTAGAAATGAGAGCTAGTTTTACAACCAGATGTGACATCATGATGCAACCTGACTTTCCCTCCACAACGTTGTGAATGGAAGTGTTTTTTCCCCTTATTAGCTGATATGTATCACAGTTGGAAAATTGCACAGCCAGAGAAATCACTTCTGTTCTGATGTCCTGGAAACATGGAAGAACAATGGAGGCATTTGGAAGTGAATAAAATGGTCAATAGAAACAACACATTCCTTACCAATGTATAATTATACGCTCTTTCTAAGCTCTACAAGTTTTATTCTTCTATAGTAGCTTTATGGAACCAACAGTTGGTGGTGGAATGTGAAAGGATTGGGAGAAATGATTGGGTTTGAAACAGGGGTGTTATTCAGCAGGTTCTGTAGAACCGGTAGCGGAAATTTTGAGTAGTTCGGAGAACCAGCAAATGCCATCTCTGGCTGGTCTCAGAGTGGGGTGGGAATGGGAATTTTGCAGTATCCTTCCCCTGCCACGCCCACCAAGCCATGCCCACCAAACCACACCCACACACCGGTAGTAAAAAAAAATTGAATTCCATCAATGGTTCCAAATACTAAGATTTAATCTTCAAAGCAGAGGAAAAGAATCTTGGGAGACGGCAAACACAGAAGAGAAAATTGCCAGGCAATAACAAGGAAGCTGTAGTGTGCTTTCTGTAGCTTCAACCTGAAGATGCTAAGAGGAAGAAAGATTTGACTCCTCTTTGCATGGCAGGACAGGAATTCAGAACTACATGAGGCCAATTTAGATCTTCAAGAGAACATGATGGTTATTGTGGCATCCTACTGTTTATTTATTCAGCAATTGTGGAAAGAACCTTCCAGTTTTTTCAGACATCATTGCCTATTCTCAGAAGCATCTCTTGTTTAGTCTGGAACATTCACCAACACAATCTCTCTCTCTCTCTCTCTCTCTCTCTCTCTCTCTCTCTCTCTCTCTCTCCCCCTCCCTCCCTCCCTCCCTCCCTCTCCAAACCTCCTCATCTGCTCAGAAGAAATATTAGAAACTGGCAGTTTTTGTTGGGATCTGCCCCCTCCCCCCATCCATCTCTGCTTATCTTTAACATAACATTTAAGAAATGAAAGGGAACCATCAGCAGAATTGTGAAAAACCATTACATGACATGGCTGTACCATCTGGTTATCCCAAATATGCATCTTCCTCTTACTCCTTTGGGAGGAAAAAGCAGCACTGAGGGCCCAGGCCACAACCTGGATTGCTGTGGAAATACTGGAGCCATCCTCAGACAGGATTCTTTCAACCAGATCCTGGGGTGGGATTTCCCAGGTCTCTTTCTCCAGGCATCTCTTCCAAACTTTCTTAGACAACAAGGGGATTGAATAGGAACACTGAAATGCTGCCTCCCCAAACTTCCGTGCAGCAGAGTAATGTGAATTAAAATCATAATATTGTGTCCTTTTCTTTGATTGAATTGAGAAGGATACTATAAGATGGTTATGCTGGAGATTAACAAACTGGTAAAATAATCTCACATTGATATCAGACAAAGCTGTAGCAATCCATACTTTTTCCTTAAACAGGATTTGATTCTTTTCAATGTGTTGTATTAGCACTGCTACTATTAATGTGGTCTGAGAATCCAACTGACAAACAATACTTTTCACTCTACTGTCACTAAAATACTGAAAAAATTGCTTATCCCTCCCTATTCTAAGAACCACGGGTAAGTTTTCTGAGAAGGCAACACAGACGCCTTTCTTTAGGGCTTCTGGCACAAAGGTTCTTCTGAACTTTTCTCCAGTTTCATTGTCCGGAGCAGCGAGGCCGATCCACGTCCATCGGAAATGCAGGAGCAGTTGGACAATTGCCAAGTGAGGAGGTTCTTGCTTTGGATTCACCCGGTAGAAAAAAGGAAAATGGTGTTTCTGTTCTGGAATGCGGCTGATGACCCCATAGTTGATCTAAGATGTAAGAGAAAAAATATGGTCAATTGTTTTGCTTTTCAGGACAAAAATAAGTCCTTACCTCCAAGGGCTTTTTTTTTTCTGATGCTAACCCTATACTCACACATCAAGTGGTCAAATATATTCACCAAGTTATACTCAGTGGCTAAGACACTGAGGTTGTCGATCGAAAGGTCGACAATTCAGTGGTTCGAATCCCTAGTGCTGTGGAATGGAGTGAGCTCCTGTTACTTGTCCCAGCTTCTGCAAACAAATCAATTTGGAAAGCACGTAAAAAATACAAGTAGAAAAATAGGGACCACCTTTGGTGGGAAGGTAACAGACATTTGAATGCCTGAGGAAAATATAATATTTCAGGAGTCTTTAAAGCTCTGTCATCTGACACATTTTATTTATCATCTGACCCCTTTTGGACTATCAGTAGACTTTATAAAATTAAATTAGCTTCAGTATTCATTCATACTTGTGGAATTTTGTAGGTGCCTAACATAGCTGAAATGTAATTAAAGAGTTCTGAATCAGTCTCTTCAAACACAGCCAAAAGATTGTTTTGTCTTCCGCAACTGTAGTTTGGGACATTCTCCTGCCCTGTAGACAGCAAGTCCATCATGACTTCGGATGTCATCCTTGCATTGAAAAAGTTCTCATAGATGCTGTATCCCAGGGTGATGTTTGGTAACAGCTTTGGATTCTGGTTGACCTCATGAATGGCAAAGAAGAAGGGCAGGACATGCCAGAAGCTCATACTCTTTGTACTGCAAAATAAGAGAGTGCAGTTGGTTTTCATCCTCAGTTCATAAAATGACATCATATTACCTGAAGCTGTTCCTTTATGACATTTAGCAATCAGTTGGATCGCTGTCTTATGAGGCTAGCCTGGAAATTTAACAATCTAAAAATCTGAAATTAGTTATAGAATGTATCCCTAATATATCTCTAATTGTGTTGCCCAGGATGATGTTTGATAACAGTTTTGGATTCTGATTGATGTCATGAAGGGAAAAGCAGGAGGGAATCAGACCAAAAGCTCAATTCCTAGTTTTAATCATAGACTGCTAATATCACAGGTGTCAATATTAAAAGTTAAAACATAAAATTTTAACATTCATATCAGCTAACCATCCCCATTAAAAGAAACACAGTGGAAAGGATAAAATTAATCACTAGCGTTCAAGACACATCAGGAATTACCTTACAAATCTGTGGTTTGGAGGCTTAAAGAAGGTGTATGCTTGAAATATAGCGCTAGATGTAGATATGATTCCACTAATCAGGAAATCTCCTGTCTTGTAGTAATGAAATTTATGTTTGTCATCTTTCTGCACATTTAATGGACATTTGGTCATCAGCGTCCCACATGGAAAATGGGACACCAAGAGAAGCAGCAGCAGCAGCATTTCAAGTATCACAATGAAGATCTTCTGTAGTTCTCTGAGACAAGACACCACTGTCTTTAGTTTCAGGGAAATCTTTAGGGGAACCACAGTTCTCTTGCCAAAGGACACAGATACGGACTTCACCAAGCAAGATAAAATTTAATCTGGCACATTAAAAGGACAGCATTAAAATTCGGACCTGTACAGTGTGCCTACAGGAGTCTCACCGTGTGTTCTTTGTAATCCTTGAGGTCCTTGTGGACCAGATCTTCAGATTTTTATAAGAATTACAAAATACTTGTGAAATCTGTTGATGGGGGTTACTAAATATCTGTACCTCTGTTTCAAAATAACCGTGGGTGAGAGAAGTCCCCTAGGCTATAGTGGAAGATGAAGTAATCATTGTGATTTTGATAATTATACAGGGATTTGGGAATCACAGTTGATTCTGTGTATGACTTCATTCACAAGTGTACCTGAGGGGAAAAAACTTTGCATGAGTTATGGACCTACTTAGAATTTAATCATCAAAATAACAACTGCAAACTTTTTATTCCATTATTACTTTGGAGGAAGCAGAATATTATGGTCCTGTTATATTTGGGTTTCATGTTGAGTCATAGCACAGAGAAAACACTGATTGTGCTTGTGAATTAACTCTGGTGGACCCTGAATTAGGTGAGGTATTCATCCTGCCTCTGCTGGGTCTCTCATCAGCTTTCAATATTTGAAACACAATATATAGGTAGTCCTCGGCTTACAAAAAGTCATTTAGTGACCATTCAAAGTTACAGCATCGTTGAAAAGCATGACTTACAAAAAGTCATTTAATGAACATTAAAAGTTACAGCGTCATTGAAAAACATGACTTACAACCGTTGCATCTTCCCCATGGGCACATGATCAAAATTTGGATGCTTGGCAAGTGGTTCATATTTATGATGGTCGCAGTCTCCCAGAATCACGTGATCCTCTTTTGCAACCTTCTGACAAGCAAAGTCAATGAGGAAATCAGATTCACTTATCAACCAAGTTTCTATTTTAACAACAGCAGTGATTCACTTAACAATTCTGACAAGAAAGGTCATAAAATGGGGCAAAATTCAATTAACAGCAACAGAAATTTTAGGCTCCATTGTGGTTGTAAGTTGAGGACTCTAAGACAATTGAGAGGGTTTGGAATGAATTTTCCCCTCCCCAAAAAATTATCAGGTTCCTCTACTCAGTCAACTCTCTTGTGATTTGCAATATAGAGCACTAGGGAAAGTCTTTGCCACATTTCTCCCTGTGTGAAGTCCCATATAACTCACTCAAGAAATTGAGGACTATGTTGCTTCTCGTATTCTAAACTTTGTAATTAAATTACAAAGTTACTATGGCAACTGTGATATCTTTGGGAAAGAAGTTTTGAAAGTATGCCTTCATAAATTGAGTAGATTTTTAGCAGGCCAATTTTTTTTTATTTTTTTTTTTTGTATTGATATGAAAGAGTATCACACTTTCCTGATGGAAATGAGCTGGTCTCCTTTCTTTCCTAATGCAAAAGGCAATTCTTCCAAATGTTCAGCTTAATTCAAAACAACATGTCCTTGAATTAGTTGTCCACATGTAAAGCATTCCTGGCCTGCTCTTGAGTTGCCATAGGCAGGAGTGGGGGGGGGAAACTGATGGAGCAACCAGAAGCACATTCCACGCATACCTTCTCAAGGCCACAGCCTAGGTTACCAAGAGTCAGCTGGAGAGGCATGTTCTCTACGGCCCGCGAAAGTGCTCCGTTAGAGAATGTGATTTATGACACACCCTGGGAGAAGGGAGAAAACAGGGTCATAGTTGGGACGTAAATTACGTGAGGCAGAACTGACTCCATTTGGGTATGTGCCGATATGTTGCTCCTAATTAACAACTGGAACTTGGCTCAAGGCTCATGAATTAATTAGGGCACCCGTCGGAACCCCGACATTAGCGCCTTCATATCAGCACTCAGTATTTTCACATTAACAATCAGGAGAGTCTAGATCACAGGCATCAAACTCAATCGCATCACAGGCCATATTATGATGTATCATGTTTTATGCCTATGAAGAGCCTGGATGGGTATGGCCTACACATGATGTCTCCAGCCAATGGGGCATCCGTTTTTTCAGGCCTGGCTCTAAATCAGAGGTGTCAAACTCGTGTCGCCACAGCATCTTCAAGTGACGTAATGTGACTTTTTTCCCCTTCACTAAACCAGACATGGGCATGGCCAGCGGGTGACACATCTGGCCTGCGTGCTATGAGTTTGACACCCCTGTTCTAGATCACCTGAAGAAAAGAGCAGAAGGGAAAGAAAAAATAATATTCCCATAAACAAATAACTAGTAAGTAAATCAAAGGTGATAATTGTCCAACTATAGAAGCTTAACAATATGAAATGAAATATGACAAAACAACTCACAAGGAACCCTCCTCATCAATCAATCAGAATAGAGCTGGAAGGGACACTCGAGGTCTTCTAGACCAGCCCCCTGCTCAAGCAGGAGACCCTATACCATTTCAGACAGGTGGCTGTCCAGTCTCTTCTTAAAGACCTCCAGTGATGAAACACCCACAACTTCTGAAGGCAAAGCTGTTCCACTAGTCCTCCTTTTCTATACACCAGCGATATCCAATTCCTGCAGTCGTTCTTCATATGTTTTTGTCTCCAGCCCCTTAATCATCTTAAGTGCTCTTCTTTGCACTTTTTCCAAAGTCTCAGCATCTTTTTTTATAATGTGGTGACCAAAACTGGATGCAGTATTTGTGGTCTTCGAAAGTTTTTATGCAGCGGTACTAATACTTCACATGATTTTGATTCTATTCCTCTGTTTAGGCAACCAAGGTTTATATTAGCTTATTTGGCTGCTGACACACACAACTGGCTCATATTTAAATGATTGTCCATGAGGACTCCTAGGTCTATCTCAAAGTTACTGATTTTGAGCCAGGTACAAGTCTCTACTTGTAACTTTGGTTTTTCTTGCCTAATTGTACAACCTTGCTTTTCTCCGCATTAAATTTTATTTTGTTGGATAGGACCCATTGTTCAAGTCTGTCATAATCCTTTTGGATCCTGAACTTGTCTTCCGGGCGGTTGGCTATTCCTGCCAGCTTTCTGTCATCTGCAAATTTGATCAGTTCTCCTTCTATTCCCTCATTTAAATATTTTATGAAAACTTGAAGACTACGGGACTTAAGATGAAACCTTGTGGTACGCCACTGCTTACTTCCCTGCATGTAGATGTACTACTAATACTACTCGCTGAGTATGGTTTGTCAGCTGTTGGTTATGCTGTCTATCCCATATTTTTCCAGCTTATCAAGAAGTAGATTGTGGTCTACTTTGTCAAATGCCTTTTTGAAATCTAGGTATATTATGTCCACAGCATTTCACTCGTCTGCTAATTTAGTCACTGTCAAAGAAGGAAATAAGAGGGTTTGGCATGATCTGTTTTTAACTGGCTCCTACTTATAACTTTATTTGTTTCTAGATGTTCACAGATCTATTTTTTGATGATCTTTTTCAGGAACTTCTCAGGTATTATATCAGACTGATTGGTCTGTAGTTTTCTGTGTCTGGTTTTTTTCATCATTTTTCATCATTTTTTTCATCATGATTGGCAAGAGATTTGTATCTCATCTAAAAATTATATTAAGAAAAACTCCCTGATAAAACTTCTCTAAATTGGTTTCAGAAACTTGTTTCTGATTTTATTTGCCTGGCATTTTTGTTATTCTGCTGCTGTGAGCCAACCTTTGAAGTGAGTAAAAGGAGAAAAAGCAATTCAGTTTTGATTTTTGAAGGTCAGTTGTGTTGTCATGAGAGCTGATGAACTGACCTGATTGCTGATTTTGGAGATAGCAGTCCCACTGGGCCAGCTAGTATGTAGGTGTCAGCAACTGGAAACCTGAGGGAGATCATATACTCATTCTCCTGTTAAGAACCAGAATTCTGAGGGAGTGTGAGGACCAGCTTCCCCACCCCCCCTTCCAAGAAAGTATGAACTTTTGAGAACTTTGTATTTCAAAAGGAGTCTTTTATTGAAAGGGATGAAAGCAAGTCAAAACTCAAAGCAGGCTCTGGGGTCCCTCAGGGCATGCAGTTCAGGATAAAGGAAATTAGGAACCCCCTCCCCACCTTCCAATGTGGATTGTGACCAATCCGCCGGTATGAATATGAATTGCACCAGCGTCTCTGAGAAACAGATATTAAGAGCTTCTCTGGGTCATCATGCAATCAATTAGTCCCCCCCCCCCCACCTTCCCTTTCCTTTCCTGAAGTGAGAGAATATTCCAGGTATTCCTGGCGCCAGGCAATGGTTATGAATCAGGGTAAAGTTCATACAAAGAGGACCAGGCTGGAAATAGGATACTAAGGACACATAGGAAAAGAACTAAACGTGACAACTCCAAACCCTCCCTCCCCTCTTCTTCCATGAAGAATGGCAGATACACAGATCTGCCAGGGAGATTCCTATCCCCACTCTGTTTGTTTAGCTTATTTTTTCAAGAGAATGGGGGCAAGAGGAGAGAAATATGTGCATATTGCCAGAGTGAAAGGACTGGCTGGAGGGAAAGTGGAAAGAAAAGTTAAATATGCAAAGCAGTATTTCAGTATCAGTTCCTGATTGGATAAACAGAAAACAAAAATACTTGTGAAGATCATGGCTTTAAACAGAGTGATTCCAGATCAGAAAAGAAATGAGACAAGACTGTATACTCCATATTTATTCAACTTCTATGCTGAATGAATATTGAAGAAGTATAGTTTAGAAGACAAATATCATAGTTTTAAATTGGTGGAAAAAACATCAATAAGCTTCCTTAGGCTATTTATTGATAGTAACATTAATCACATGGGAGAAAGAAAGAATTTTTAGAACAAATAATAAAAGGTTTTCAATTTCTTATTTTATCTTAGCAATAATTTGGATAAAAACATAACTGCCAAAATCAAGAGCTCTAGTTGTTTTTCATCATTAGATGCTCCTTCATGTTCAAATCAGGTCTCAGAATGATGACGTAACATTTGGGGACAAAGATGCAGCCCATTAAGCCCAGGCTGGAAGTCAAGATGGAGAAGATCTGCACAGCCACCATATATTTCCCTTTGGTGCTCAGGTAGGTGGGGACAAAGGAGACCCAAACACTGCAGAAAACCAACATGCTGAAGGTGATCAGCTTGGCTTCGTTGAAAGAGCTTGGCAACCTCCGGGCCAGGAAAGCCACCAAGAAGCAGATGACAGCCAGAAAGCCCATATAGCCAAGGGCACTGTAAAACATTGTAACTGAACCTTCATTGCATTGCAGAAGGATCTGTCCTTTTTGGGAATAGAAGTCAGAATCTGGGAATGGGGGAAAGATTCCCAGCCATATGAAACAGATGCCCACCTGAACACCAGAGCAGGAGAAGATGATGAAATTGGCCAGAGATTTCCCCAGCCATTTCCTCATCCTGCTGCCTGGCTTTGTGGCCAGAAATGCCACCACCACCATGATAGTCTTGGCCAGCAAGGATGACACGGCAACTGAGAAAACAACACTGAAGGCAGTTTGTCGAAGAAGGCAGGTCGCTTTCTTGGGCTGACCAATGAAGAGAAGGGAAGTCAAGAAGGAAAGCAGGAGAAAGATCAGCAGAATGTAGGTGAGATCCCGGTTGTTGGCTTTGACTATGGGAGTTTCTCGATATTTAATAAAAATTCCTAGAACTGAGGCAGTGGCTAGAGACAAAAAAATGGCAGAAATAGCCAGAACAAGACCTAAGTTTTCTCTGTAGGACAGAAACGTCATAACTTTGGGAACACACAGATCTCGTTTGTTGTTGGAATGGTGGTCATCTGGACACTTTTCACAATGGGCTGCATCTGGAAAACACAAAGTATATTTTTAAACAAGTGATTGAGTGACATTCAGCACATCATAACCAACTTTCCAGAGATAGGATGTACACATTTATTGTTATATGTTTTGTTTATTATGCAATTATATTTATAGACCACCTGTAAAATATTTTGCAGCAGTTTTCCCTTAAATTATAACTTGGAGTGAATTTTCTACATTTTTCTTTTTGAAAACTCTTCTCATTTTTGCATTAGGATTATTTCTTTGACGTCTTGTATCCATTTTATCATACAAATGTTGATTTTTCCCATCTCCATGGCATATTTTAAAAACAATTTATATATGGCTCTAAATCATAAGTCTTGTTTTGTATGAATATTTCAAATGCTGTCATCGTTCTCAAGGTCTCGCAATCTTTTTCAAGATGGTTTGTTATTGTTTCAGCAGTTTGTGAAAAAAATCCACCGCTGTGAATTCTACCTTCACTGAAGTGATTTTAGTCTGCTTCCTGAGTCTGGATGTAGCATATCGGCATATGACATTAAATCTTGGTAATACCAGAACGGTGGTAGCACAGTGATTAGAATACAGTATTGCAGGCTAACTCTGCCCAGAGCCTGGAGTTCAATCCTGATCAGCTCAAGGTTGACTCAGCCTTCCTTCCTTTTGAGGTTGGCAAAATGTGGACTCACTTTGTTGGGGACAATATGCTGACTCTGTAAATAGCTTAGAGGATGATATAAAGCACCCTCTAAGTCTAAGTGCAATTGCTATTGCTAATATATTGTCCTTAAAATATATGGTGCTCCTTCTTTGTTCTTGAACTACCGACCTTCCTGCACAGAGATGGTTCCTTCCATGCATGGAGAACAGTCATAACAGCAAAGT